TCATATTAAGAGGTTCGATTGAGCCTAACAATTTTCATTCTCATTATGAGATAGAATATCAAATTCCTAGTTTTTTTTTGGTATGACGCATTAATATAGGATTGTTTCTGGATTATACGAAAAATGTGTAATCCAATATAAATGCAGATTTTGGAAACCGCTCTTAGTTATTGGCTCATTTTTAGAGCAACAATTGAGATTCAACTTTCTTTTTTTTAACAGAATTTACGCTTAAARTGCGTACTTTCTTGCATGAATAAAATATTGATTTAGCGGAATTTTAAAAGTTTGAGCAAAAAATCTGAAATGCAAAATTAATGCTGATTTTAAAAACCGCCCTTAATTTTTGGCTCATATTTAGAGATTCGATTGAGCCTAACCATTTTTATTCTTACTATGAGATAGAGTATTAAATTCCTCGTTTTTTTTGGTATGACGCATTAATATAGGATTGTTTCTAGTTTATACGAAAAATGTGTAATCCAATAAAAATGCAGATTTTGAAAACCGCTCTTAGTTATTGGCTCATTTTTAGAGCACCGATTGAAATTCAACTTTCCTTTTTTAACAGAATTTACGCTTAAAATGCTTACTTTCTTGCATGCAAAAATATTGATTTAGAGGAATTTAAAAAGTTTGAGCAAAAAATCTGAAATGCAAAATTAATGCTGATTTTGAAAAGCGCCCTTAGTTTTTGGCTCGTATTTAGAGATTCGATTGAGCTTATCAGTTTTTATTGTCATTATGAGATAGAGTTTTAAATTCCTCGTTTTTTTTTGGTATGACGCATTAATATAGGATTGTTTCTAGTATATACGAAAAATGTGTAATCCAATATAAATGCAGATTTGGAAAACCGCTCTTAGTTATTGGCTCATTTTTAGAGCACCGATTGTAATTCAACTTTCCTTTTTTTAACAGAATTTACACTTAAAATGCTTACTTTCTTGCATGCAAAAATATTGATTTAGCGGAATTTTACAAGTTCGAGCAAAAAATTTGAAATGCAAAATTAATGCTGATTTTGAAAACCGCCCTTAGCTTTTGGCTCATATTGAGAGATTCGATTGAGCCTAACAATTTTTATTCTCATTATGAGATAGAGTATTAAATTCCTCGTTTTTTTTTGTATGACGCATTAATATAGGATTGTTTCTAGTTTATACGAAAAAAGTGTAATCCTATATAAATGCAGATTTTGAAAACCGCTCTTAGTTATTGGCTCATTTTTAGAGCACCGATTGAGATTCAACTTTTCTTTTTTAACCGAATTTACGCTCAAAATGCGTACTTTCTTGCATGCGAACATATTGATTTAGCGGAATTTTAAAAGTTAGAGCAAAAAATCTGAAATGCAAAATTAATGCTGATTTTGAAAACCGCCCTTAGTATTTGCCTCATATTAAGAGGTTCGATTGAGCCTAACAATTTTCATTCTCATTATGAGATAGAATATTAAATTCCTAGTTTTTTTTTGGTTTATCATTAATATAGGATTGTTTCTGGTTTATACGAAAAATGTGTAATCCAATATAAATGCAGATTTTGGGAAACCGCTCTTAGTTTTTGGCTCATTTTCAGAGCACCGATTGAGATTCAATTTTCCTTTTTTTAACAAAATTTAGCCTTGAAATGCGTACTTTTTTGCATGCATATAACATCGATTTAGTGGAATTTCAAAATGTCGAGCAAAAAATCTGGATTGCAAAATTATTGTTGATTTTGACTTAGTTTTTGGCTCATATTTAGAGAACCAGTTGAACGATAACGCTCTATTTGTTCTTCCGGAATAGAGCCTTCATATAAGAAATGGATGGATGAATTGTTCTAGTTTGGGCGCAAAATGGTAAAATGCGAGATTATTGCGGACCTTAGATCACTTTGTTTGTCGAATATTTAGAGAACAAGTTGAGTTACAAAGATTTAATTTCGCCTGAACAGAAAAGGAAAAATAATCAAACTACGGATGAGTTTAATTTGATCTTAGAACCAACAGCTAATATTAACCAGCTGGATTTCCTGCTATCGCCCATTCTACCACTGTCTGTCGATTGTGTTTCACTCTCAGCCCGATATAAAACAATTTGAGGCATTATATATGTCAAGTGCAACCCTCTCAATAATGACCCCTTTATCTTGTCTATTGCTCCCTGACTATAAACAATGTGCTCCCGCTCTGCTGACAAGGAATACAGGTTTGATATGACACGTCGATGTTGCTCTCAATACGTGTCACTTGATCCAATGAGTAATTGTTTAGTCACAATACCTGTCGATGAATGATCGATCAACACTCATCGATATACAGCGTGATGAACAGTTGGCCTCATTCACTTGAGCAAAACTGCTTATTTATAGTTCATAACCTCACTTTACAACATTGGTTTTTATTTGTTCACATTTATTTCAGGTTAAAGAAACTGTGTCTGGTGAAAACGGTTGACGAAACGCTAGGCAAGAGAATATTGGGGTTTTAGTCAAGTGTTTCCGACGAAAATAACACTGTTAGTTATTTTATAAGTTCAACTTCATTATTTAACAATAACACAGAACAGATATATGGAGTAGCAATGGGTTCTCCCATAGCAGCAACAATTGCAAATTTGGTAATGGAAA